AAGTCACATTGATAAAATAGCAGAACGAAAAACCATTTGCAGACATTGATGTAGTGTGTTGCACCCAACTGCTTGACTTCTTCAGGAAATCAAACACTCTTCCAGGGCAAATGCGCTTACTGGCCCTTGAGACAATCAATGTCAACTATCCTGCAGATCAATGGCTCCAAGTCTTCACTGATGGGTCATGCATAGAAAGCCAAGCAAACGTTGTTGCAGGTGTCTATTCTGAACTCTTCTCTTTCTACGCAACAGCGGGACACAATAGATCCGCTTTTGAAGGAGAAATAGAGGCCATTAAGATAGCACTATGCCAATTATGTTGTCTGGATGCGAAATTCACCAAAGTGGTGATACTTTCGGACTCACAGTCAGCAATGAACTCTATTGAAGACAGAGAGCCACCCAAAACAGCTGAGATAAACGAATGTAGAAAACTGTATCAGCTGCTGAGAGAGAAAAACAAAACAGTGGTCCTACAATGGATTCCTGGTCACTGTGGCATTAAAGGCAATGAGCTTGCTGACACTGTTGCTAAGAAGGGGACAACTATTTTCCAATGCATGGACCGTCCGATGTCTTTCCACACAATGAAGGCCTTAATCAGAAGAGAATTCCAGACCTCAATGTGCAACGAACTCAAAGATCGAACAAAGGAGAAACAGTGGACAGTGGCACTCTCTGACATACCCGACTGGCCAAGAATCGAAGCCGTTGCTGAGTTTAGACTACGTACCGGCAAAACACCTTCACATATTGGGAGTATACACTCAACCCACATGCCCTCTATGTAACCTACAGGGGGAAATAGAGAAGACCCACCTGATACGATGTCCAGCCCTAAAGACAACGACGGAAAGCCAGAGATACTGGGAAGCAAGAAGTTGAAGTCAAGGTTTAAGGGCCAATTATAAATATCACAAAGCCTGCCATTTGAAATAATAATAATAATGTTAAACCTCGAATATTCTGCTCGAAACAAGTTTTATTGCTAAACACGAATGACTGGCTAAATTTTGACCCAATCAAAGTTTCAACTAGACTCCATAACACATCCAGATCATATTGGTCAAAACCATAAATGTATTAAGTTGAACTTAATTCAAAAGATGGACATTCAATAGACAACAAAAAAAGGTCAGCTAGCCATATTTTTGACAGGGGTGTTCGTCATATTTTATATGTTTTATGGATTAATCAAAATCCATGAAATAATCCAATTTATCAAGCTTGTTCAGGAACATGAGCGCCACTTCTACCAGACATTCGAATTCATCATTTGAAATTTCTTTGCACGTCTTTAAAATTCGATTTCTAGGTGTTGAAAATTATTAGTGAGCTTTCCCCTGCGAACATTCGAAACCTGTACACAGCCAAAAGATGTGTCTGCGTAAGTTTGGTTCCCTTTTTTATACATAGAAGTTCAATTTAGTTTAAGATTTCGGCAGATATTAAAATAGATTTTCAAGCTCATCTTGATTCTTATTTTAAAAACAGATCTACATATTCAAGCGCAGTAAATGTTAAGTGCGTTAGAAATTAACCCTCCTCTCAAATAGAAAAATAATTTAACACCGTAGCGACTCAAATTCTCTAATTCCAATTGGTTTAATCCAAGTCAGGTTGAGTTGAATTCTTCTGAAATGGCGTCAAGGCCAAATAGAATCACCTCCTTAACTTCCTCTTCGAGCGAAAATCTTCATCTGAGCCGACTTATCCCAACTCCATCTCCTGCTGAGCATTCTTCATTAAGGAATATATTTATGAATGATACAACGAAGTTGACGGTGAACGTAACCGCAGGTAAGCACTACTGAAATAAAATTTACGAAATGCACTATTTAGAATTAACATTCACAATTACTCCTTTACAGGTTCCCAGATGTTTCCTTTCTTCTCCTCAATATCTGCTTTATCAACGAATGTTTCTGATACTCGAAATTGGAATGCCGCTGATAGTTTAATTCACGGATTCCACAATGCAACGACTGAGGGATTTAGATCAAATCAGAAAAGCGTCGAGAGTACTCCATCAAATTCGTGGAGATCACATAGAACTAAACGAATGAGACTGACTGAGTATTCATGCAATTGGTGTCGTATGACATTTCCAAAAGTGAAAGATTTGGACAAGTACACGAAAGAGATACATGGAAAGTACTGTTGCCAAAAATACAACTCTGAATTTACAGAATTCGCAAATGTAGTACGCCATGGAGCAACACACAGTAAAAAATCTCCATTCGAATGTCTCCTTAGCCACAAGACCAATCGAAACGGCATATGGACTCTCGTCACCCAGGTTACAATCCTGCTAGAGATATAAGGGTTGATGGTGATAATGCAAGGTTTCTCAAATATACACAAATCGCTGTAAATAACGATCATCAGGAAGTTGAAACGCCTGAAGTTAGGAATTTACCGGTTGATCTGACTTCTTCAAAGACACAAGTTGGGTTTGTGCAAATGGACACTTCAAGTGGGGTGACCATTGCAGTAAAAGCAGAGGAGAAACCCGAGGACACATTTGCCTGAAATCCGTCGCAGCTTGTTTGGATTCCATGAAGTAGCAGAAGTGGAATCCTCATGAAGACGAATGACAATGCATTTATATATTTCGTACTCGCGATATTTATAGCATTCGGTACTCCTAAACATAAGTAAAAATAGCAATTTTAACGTGATAATCGATTATTAATTGTTAAAATACAAAGTGAATTTTGAGAGATGAAATTTGTTAACTATTTTCACTTTTGAGTGAGAAGTGATTTGAATTCAGTTTGTACTTTAGAGCATATTTTATTGGATTTCAAAATCAATATTACTCATGGTAGCCCATTTAATTAGTTGAGGTTGCTACAAAATTGGGTTAAAACGAAGTGAGGTTAGCTATGCCAGGAGTAAAATACTAAGAAATCGAAAGAGAAAATTCAGCCGAAGTTCCTAGTGCAGTGACATTGTAAACATTTAAAGATCCAGCTAACCTAATTATTGGCCATACTCGCTTAAGCACTTGCATCAAAGATTCACAACCTCAGGTCAAAATGTTTAATTATGTGTTGGATGTAATATTACACCGACACCCACTAAGGCCGAATCACATTTCCCATCGATTTCCAGTCTCATGTGAAGCAGAGGAAGAGGATGCCTCGCAGCGGTAGACAACGTATGTAGTAGGTGACAGTCATTCAACCAAAATACCATAGGAAAGTAGGCAGGCTTAGAAATAACAAATAGCTATGAACAATTCAACTTTCACTGTTTTTAGGATTAATCGAAAGTTAAAATGCGAAAAAAACCATTGGCAAACTTAAAGACGCAGCTCAACAACATGGGATCACTTCTTAAAACAGTTGTGAGACAAGTTCCATTTGATCCAAGTTTTACTTACTTTCTTACATCATAGTTTTTCTTAGGAAGTAATCATGCTCTTTGGATTCCTATATGGCTTAGAGTGGGAGAAACTTCAATTACAAATTATCTGCTCTTTCCCAGCTCAAACCCCAACCCCCAACTATATTATCTCTCGAGTTTGAAAATGCATGAAAGTTACTCAGAAGCATGTGCTTTCAATCTTTCACTTTTCTCTCAATCTTAACACCTTTGATCGAATCCGAAGATCATCCGTATTTACTACGATAATTCATAGAATTTCGCATAGTGACCAGCTCCACATGTAGAATCACGTCTTAGAACAGTTAGATGTATAACATTAATCAAATCGAAGGTAATGTTGGAGGGTCTTCTCATTTGATTAAATGTGTAAAGATTGGGAGAAAAGTCAAAAATTGAAAAGAACTTCTATTTGAGTTAATTGCATGACATTTCAAACTTGAGAGATAACATATTTGAGTGTGAGGGTAGGCGAGGAGAGTAGAAAAAGGGATAATTTTAACAGTGGCTTGGGCAACTCAATGCCATGTTTGTATCTGATGGGCATGATTGCTATTAACCCAAAACTATGATGTTGAACGTAGCTGAATCTTGGATCTAATGGAAGTAAAACATTTAAATTTGATGTTGAATTTCCATCCACTCACAATGCAATCGAGGTTGTATAATTGGCGGGGATGCCACATTTGAAGATTATCTGCAAGGATATATCAATTGCATCCCTCCAAAAATTGGATATGTTATTAACAATCCTCATCAATGTCTACTCAAATTATCATGTGTGGTCTGATGTACCCTCAGACTTTAATGTCAAGAAATTTTGTATTACTACTCATACAAAATTACCCTCATTCAATTATAAATCACGCAACCTCACTGAACCAGAGTGGAGTAGACCATTGTCCTCACAATGATTCGATGAGAAAGCTTACATAGAAGACCAGTGAGGCAATTGAATAGATCACAATACATAGAACTCGATCTCCTTTATTTATAAATCGAAACTTCCTTCATATCTAAACTTGAGGTGTAGCTGAAAGGTTATGTTAAATTATTTATTTGACAATTTTCGATCAAATGATCTGTTAATTCATGGATGTATTGTATACTTTTAGTAAAGATAGAGAAACTACGCCTTCCGACAAAAACACAACCTCATTTAATTGTCTATCGTTTACTATCTGAGCAATTTAATGTGACATAAAGCAACTTTGAAAACAAATTTAGCTAGGCGATATGCCGATACATTTTAATTAAAAAATGTGAATTATACAGAATTGGTTAACTAATTGAAGACATTTCAAGGCGCTCAGTTTTACAGCCGCATCTAAAATGATCAAAAAGTTTGGAAGCCTGAAATGTAAGGCTTTCCTTATCGGTGCAATAGTAACATTTTGTTATGATTATATTTTTTTAATTCACAGCGTTAAGCACTTGACAATGGACAGTTGAATTTTCAACTCTAGTTATATTTATAGGGTAACAAAAATTGTGGCATTTCAAATTAAATGGAATCCTTGCCATGCAGAAATTAGACTGGAGAGGTATAGGAGTGTAAATTTATTAATAACGAGAACTAAGCCTAATTGCTTTATACTATCTTGAAAGTTTATCTATCGTATCATTTATTTTGAATACCAAAATTAGTGATCAAAACGTTTATAACAGGACTTTTAGCTTTGAACTCGACAAATTCAGATGTTCCCTTTGGATGGATAACACAACGCTTATAAAATACTCCAATTCGCTTCCATCTTTTTGCCAAACTTTCTAAACAATGCTTCTCTCAATTTTGGAAAGGTTGAATACCGAGAAAGCTTTCTATCCAATAATAAATAACTATTCTACATGAAGCAGTTTTCATAAACCTGTTGCAAAGCTACAACGATCTGAACATAATTAAAATTATGCACCGTGTTGTGTTGTGAAGACATGTTCAAGCGTTTAGATCTTGGATCTATTTCAAGTTATGGCATTAGTCTGAGAACATTCGGAATTAACCTCGTGCATATTTGAACCCGTAAATTGAAATGAATTCTGGTTTCAAAGTAGTTAAATAATGTACAGTGGCATTGAACAGAGTAAAACATTTTTTTAAATTGTAAAATGCTTAAATATAATAGATTAGAATAGTGTACGGTCAACAAAGGAGCCAAGGTAGAAAAACGAATGTAATCACGTCTTCAATAAATAAATTATTAAATTTGGGTGAGCATATCTTGACGTTTCATCTCTCTCTTATTCCTGTCTACTCAGGGACAGACCTGGAGCAAAGTGAACTTTAGGTAGGTCTGCAGCACACTAAAATTGCAGACGAATGAATGGAAAAATTTGTCTCTGGGCAGTGTTAACGTAGTCATGGAAAGTTAATTGAAAACTAGATCAAATTCAGGACCAATATTATTAAAGTATGAATTTTATTCCACTACCTGAACTGCAAAAGAAGATAGCGCTTCGATGTAGGTGAACTGACTGTTTTCCTTTATTCCATATTTGATGCTGGATTTTCAGCTCGTTGTTTCAGAAGCCGTAGGTTCTACTATTTTTCTCTAATTGCAAATTGCGAGATATAGTCAGGTGTGCTAATGCAAAACATGGGTGCATAAAATAGCAGCTGAGTAATCAATCTTTACAAATATCATTACTTGCATATCAAGCAGTAATTAACGATTTTTAACTCAGATGGATCCTTGGAAAAAGTAACTCACCAGCCCAATATCCAATTCGACATCAACATATTACTTTTACAGATACCTAATGTTGGACACGGGACAGTCAACCTGTGCATCATAGAACGACCTGTGATAGTTCATGTAATGAGAGTTATGGCTTGCCTAACTAGTTGGTAAGATGTATTACACGGTCATAAGAGGCCACAAATTCTTTAAATAGTAATCAAGAAGAGCAAAGATTACATACCTATTTTGTCACTTAACCATGAAGAGGCAAAAGAAAACTAAACTGGAGTCATCGGAATGGCTACTTATTCTCCAGATGGAAGTAAATGCTTCCGTTAACTTTTCCTTGCATCGACTCCATGTTGACCTGTGACCACAAGATATTGAGTCCATTAAGTGTACAATGCCTAACTTAAAATGCAATCGATGGTAGGTAATAAAATACATCATTAGAAAAAGGTATTAACTCTTTGCTAAAACAAAAATTGGTAAAGATTGGTAACAATTTTAAAATAGTTTACTCTAGAAGACATGTAAATGATCACAATATTTACCACGAAATATGTCTGTTTCCTCTATATATTTGTGCCAGTTCAGGAAAAGGAATTAACTTTTGCTATAAGAAAAAGCAATTTTCATTGCTATATGACCGTAATCACCTTCCCTTGAAAGGAACAGGAAATTTCGTCTACGATCTGATTTTGCCAATGAACGTGCCAACTACCAGTGTTTATTTTCCACGTTCGAACTCTCACTAGGAGCCAACGTCTGCAACTCTATGCCAATGATGAGTGGATCGATTGGTTGTAAATTTGAATGGGTATTTTGATTTTCTCTCACTCGCCCTTCATGCATATTATTTTCTTTTTTACCGTTTTTCCAACATTTTTACTTGTTTTAAAATGTTTTTTTGCGTATAGAACTAAATTGAAACACAATGAAGTTCGATTTATTTTGTAGATCTCGTGAAGGAATCGATTTTTTCCTGGAATGCATAATCTATTACATAATATTTGATGTTGAATTAGAGTTATATTTTCAAATTATAAGACCTCATGACTTATCCATTTTGAAGATTTCTCGTCGGTGAAATTTAAGTTATAACGTTGCTCTTTGGCGTTGTTGCCATTTAGTCTTCAATTTTTATTCTTCCATTTACTTACCTAAACATTTGCACTCATGGGTGCTCAACCCTTGCTGGTTTTCTAAACAATTATTCTTAAGAATACGATAGACTTACCTCCACGTGGTGCACCCTGGACAACGTACTTTCAAATGGCAGGCGTTATGATAGGTATCATGGGGTGTGCAATAGACTTACCTCCGTGGTGCACCCTGGGCAATGTATATTAGACTTACCTCCACGTGGTGCACCCTGGACAACGTATACTTTTACGGCAAAAAGTTTATTAATCTGCAGTTGACTTCTCACGTCAAAATACTATGACCCGACTATTTGCCATA